CCGTTGAGGACCTGCGGACCGCGAGCCTGAAGGGGGGGGTTCAGATGCGGAGACCGGGAGGCTGTGGGCGGAGGGCGGGTCCTGGAGGCTGAGGGGCGGAGCGGGGAGGGGCGGGGCGCGCGCGGCCCCTTTAAGGCTTGGCCTACGTGGCAGCCTGTGGAGCCGCTGCCGCGCTGCGAGGCCGGCTGGGCACTTCCTGTGGAGGCCGCAGCGGGCGAGCGCGACCCCGAGCCAGGCCCAGCCGCCGCCGCCATGGGCCAGAACGACCTGATGGGCACGGCGGAGGACGTCGCCGACCAGGTGGGCCCGCCCGGCCCCCTCGCCCCTCCTCCGCCGCCGGGGTGCGCGGAGGGCTGGGGCGGGAGGCCGCGGGGCCGGGGCCGGGGTCGGGGGAGGGCGCCCCGCAAGCGGGACCCCGAGGGACGGCGGCGGGATGCTCCGGGCGGAGGCCGCGAGGGACCGCGAAGGCCCGGGCCGCCTTCTGCCCCCTGAACCCCGTGACCCCGCACAGCCCCTCGCGGGGCGCCCTGGCGGCGGCGGGACCCGGGTCCTCCCGGGGGAAGGGGGCGCCCTGCCTGCCGCTTCCCCGCCGGACAGCCCCGCTCCACGCCTGTGCTGTGCCGGGGTTCGCGCCCTCCCGGTGGACTCTGACCGGGCACGAGGGCCGGGCGGGGTAGTCCCCGAGGCCCCTCCGGAGTGCACAGGAGGCCTCAGGACGGGGAGGCCGGGCCGCGGGACAGTGAAGGCACAGCTTCCGTCTCTGATTAAGCTCGGCCAGAAGAGCCGGGTGGGGATCGGGGATCGTTCCATACGTGCCCTTTACTTCTGAAAGTGTCCCGTTAGGTCTGCACATTAGCCATAATTGGCCCCGTAGGCGGGGCTGCGCCTGCCCCCTGCCAGCCTTTCTTCCTTGGCCTCTGTGGCTGGGCCCCAGGTACAGGTAGTGACGGTTCAGTTTTTAATTTTAGGGGGGTGTACTGAATAAGCAAACTCTGAGGCCTAGCCTTCTTTGAAATTTTGTGTGTATTTGATTTGGGCATTTTCTGATCTGTCGGCAAACTAGCCTTTCCACCATTCACTCCCCTCGACCCCATGGTGGGTGACATCTTTCTCGTGTGTCCTCATCACTGGGTTCTTTGGCATCATCTTCCTGTGAACTGGTATTTTAGAACTAATTGGGGGAAAGAAGGTATATCAACCTGAAATATTTTTTCGTAAGGTCATGGTTTTGTGTTTAAAGACAAATTAAAAACTGTTCCTCACAGAAACAGTTCCTATCAAAAGTTCTTAAGAATCAAGTAGGCCTTTTTTCACTGACACGATTTGTAGTGACCCAGTTTTGTTTCCCCAAGTAGCAACTCTAAGAAGATGGCTCCTCTGCCGAGGGAAGCATGGGGGCCCAGTACACTTGCTCTTCAGCCTCCAAGCCCTGAGTTTTGCAAGTGAATTTCATAACCAAACCCAGATAGATGTCTGCAGTCGAGCTGCTGCCAACTCTCAAATGAATGATTTTCTACAGACAGAAAAGTTCAGACTCTCTTTATGTAATCCTAGCTTCTTTTTCTCCATATATTTGGCTTTACTTTAAGCAAAAGTGGCAGGATCTTGGGTCTGGAAGGGCCCTCTCAGGGGTAGGGTAGACCCACCATGTTGCTGAAGGGAAGGCTGGGTCCCCTCCGGCTTCTGGGCTTGCTGGTGGCACAGCCCAGAGAGAATCTGGGGCCTCCAACCCTTAGGGTAGTGAGTGCTCTATGGAGTAGCCTCAGGGCCTGGAGTTGGGGGGAGGGTCTTAAAAACACTGCCACGCACATCACTGGCAGTGGTGGGTGCTGGATCTGCCTGTGGGGTGGTGAAGGAAGTCACAGGCCCTTTGGTGCCCCTCTGTGGTGCTGGACAGGTGTGACTCTGTTGCCCTTCAAAACCAGGGTCAAGACCCTCTGCTGTGGGCAGTGCCCACTTCCTATGACAAAACTCTGACTGAGCTTGGGGGCACTTTGGTTTTGATATTCACCCTCACCATTTAAAACAAAGCTGGCTAGGGTCGGGGATTTAGCTCAGTGGTTCTGCTGCCTGCCCTGCGAGCGCAAGGAGCTGAGTTTGATCCCCGGTACCAAAAATAAAATAAAATAAAATAAAACAAAGCTGACTATAGGAAGAGGTAAGTGAGGAGACTAATCTGCAGTGGGGGTCTGTCGTGGAGGTCACCATCAGGTAATGGAACATTCACTTTGTCTAATCTTGTCTTCAGAAAACAGAAGCAAAAGTGAAGTGACTGCATTTGCCCGGAGTCGGGTCTGCTGAGGCTGAGACCTAAAAAGTGTTGTCTCGGCCCACCCCGGGTGATAGGCGGGCCGGGCCTAGTTGTGCCTTCCTGCGACCCTCCTGACGTCCAGGGCCTGGGGAGGTTGCTGGGGCCTGCACTCTTCTTGTCTGGTTACCGGACAGCGTCCTCCCAGCCACCTTTCCTTTGTGCAGCAGCAGCCAGCCGGTGGGGAAGTGCGCTGCTTGGTGCCCGCTGGCAGGCTCCTCCGAGCTGCGTCTCCACCCCTGGCATCAGGCTCCTGCCCTTGGCAGCCAGGGACAGTGTCCTCTAGCCCCAGGAAGCCAGGCTCTGGAGAAAGTCCTACGGCTGCTGTGCGAGGGAGCTGGGCATTCGGAGCCATGAGAGCCCAGGTTGGAAGGGGCCAGAAACTCATGAACTCAGCACTCCAGACTAACGTCCCTGCCTTGTAGCCGCCACTCTCTGCCTACTGACAGATTGTGGAGTGTCATCTCTGACCATGCTCACACACGTAAGTGGGACATCAGCGCTTAATGGGCTCTGCCTAATGGCTGTCTCCAGGGTAATAGGAAAGCCTCTGGTGCTTTCACCCATCCTTTGGGAGGCAGAGCTAGTCCTGTCCCGGGACCTAGGAGCTGGCCTGGGGTTTTGTTGACCTGAGGAGTACCAGACAGGCCCTGACAAGGCCCCCTAGACCCCACATGCAGCATTATAGTATTTGGCTTGTGATTAAAATAGAACGCCTGGCACTCTGGCGCAGCCAGGTCCTGGTGACAGTGGTGGGCTCCCTGAGCAGTTCCTTCTCGTGCTGGTCTTTTGGTTTGGGATTTTTTGGGTTTTTTGGTACCAGGGATCGAACTCAGGACCTTGTGCTTGCAAGGCAGGTGCGGTGCCACTGAGCTAAATCCCCAGCCCTTGGGTTTGGTTTTTTGAGACAGGGTGTCACTATGTAGTCCAGGCTGGCCTCCAACTCGCAGCAGTCCTCCTGTTCAGCCTCTCAAGTGCTGGGACTACAGGCATGCGCCACCACGCCTAGCTTTGCTGATCATAACAGGATCTTAAAAAAAGGTGTGCCTTTCTGGGGAGTGGGGCAGGGCCACAGGGGAGACTGGTAGTAGCTCCCCCAGAAGATGAATGGAAGGTAAGACCTGGCTCTCCCCCCAGGACCTGGGTCACTTACCACACTCCCGTATTTAGTAAACCAGGTGAGTGACCCTGCAGCATAACGGCTCTTGACAAGGGACAGTGTGGGAACCTTCCCGGCAGCGCTTGGAGGGACCCTCGCTGGGGTCCTCGAGTTGTGGCTGACTCCTGTTCCAGCCTCAGCTCTGCCTGGTGCAGGAGTAGTCACAGTCTCATTTCCTGGGGTGTATGGGCTCGTGGGCCCCAGAATGGGGCAGCCCCAGTGTGCGATGATCGAGGAGATCTGACCTGCCTTCTCAAAGTCTTCACTTCCTCTCCTTCCTAAGCACCCAGAGAAGGCCAGGGTTTCTGCCCAGGGCGGGGCTGCCTACAGGTGGCCATGCCGTTGAGTTCCTGGTCCTGTCTCAGCAGCCTCAGGACAGGAGTAATTGTATTCTGAGACCCCACCAGTCTCTCTGTGACAGGCCCACCCTATACCTGTATGGTATCTGTGGGGTGGCGAGGCTCGTAAGGAGCCTGCCTGTGGCAGTGGGCTGTCCCCTCTCCACACTGTCTGCCCGCACCCACTGCCTGCTCTCCTGTCCTGCAACTGTAACAAGGTCCATGGTCACAGGGTTTGTGTGTTCGCAGTGTTCATGGCCAGGCTGGGCCATCGCCTTGCACCTGAGGGCTGCACTGTGGCCTCTCAGCTCTCCATGCCCCGTCCTGGTTGGGCTCCTCTCTGTGTGCTGAGGGGACAGTGGCTCTGGGACACTTTCCAGAGCAGTACACGTGGGTCCAGGCCTTGGCCAGCATACATGTCCAGTGGGGTCTGCCCTTGCTGTTAATCTTGGCTCTTCTTCCATGTTCCCATAGGTGTTCCTCAGAGGAGGGCTGGCTCATAGGAGCCCTGTGCCAGGCTGACCTAAGAGCAGCCAGGTGCACTTGCCTCTGAAAGGAGCCACACACACACAGGAGACGTGCCTAGTCCAGCGCTCATGGCTGCAGTTTTGTGCTTTTTTCCCAAAGCAAATTGCCGTGTGGGTCTCCTGCCCCACTGGCTTGCCCCTCCTTCCATGGCTGCCTGTGGCTTTTTAATCCTCTTGACCCAGACACCCCAATTAAGAGTAGCCGACTCATCAGGAGACTTTTAAGCATGGCCTCCATCTTGCAGGCTGTGTTCCTTGCAAATGAGCTGCTTGGTGTGGGCTGTGGGCCCAGGAAGGGTCGACCACAGCCTTGGGGCAGCGGTGCTCACCTGCAGGCGTGGCCCATGTAATCCTGTCGGCCGCCTGCCACCCCCAGGAGAAGCATGTCAGAACACCTCCAGTGTCTGTCGGCTGCCTGGGGTCCACCCCACCCTGGGCAGTCCCTCCACGAAGCGCCTCCTTCCTGGCAGTGGGTTTTCCCCAGGTGTAGACAAGGCGGAGGCCTGTTGCCAGCAGGGCTGCTCAGTGGCCACGAGAAGGTTCCTCCCTGGAGCGGCTGGATCAGGAGCAGCCCTGATAATGTCAGTTGTCTTTCCCAACCCTGGTGATTACACTGTTGCTTGGCACTTTGAGACATTAGAACTGTGTGGCAGAAACCGGGCAGCGTGTGGCGTGAGGGGTCCCTGGACCCTCCCGGGGTGTGTGTGTGTGTGTGTGTCCGTGTGTGTCCCACAGGGCCCTGACACTCAGCCAGGCGTATCTGGGGCCTGCCTTTTCTCTTTCTCTTTTTTCCTCCCTCTCTTCACAGCAGGTTTTCACTCTGTTGCCCAAGCTGGTTTTGAACTTGTGGGCTCAAGTGATCTTCCTGTGTCAGCCTCCCAAGTGCTGGGACCAGTGTGTGCCACCACCTGGCTATTTTTAATTTTTTTCTAAGCATCATTATATACTTTTTTTTTTTTTTTTTTTGAGACAGGGTCTTGCTCTGTAGTTCAGGCTGCTGGGGTTTGGGTTTTTTTCTGGTTATTTTAAAGCAAGTCTTTCTCCCTCCTCTGCTTGTAGGTTTTTTGACTGCAAATTGTAGAGAATCGTAGTGACGACTCATTGAACTGTGTCACTTTGCACAGGGCAGCAGAGCCTCCCACAGCTCACCCGCCCCCACCTCCCTCTGGTCGGTGTCAGGATGGCTCGAACGCGAGCACCAGGTCTCCACCTGGGCTCTTCCCACACCCACCTGGCTGATCCTGTGGCTGGCTGTCTGGGGTGTGTGTCTGTCCCTGGCTTCTGAATAAGTTCGTGGAGTGGTGACACAGGCTCAGGCTTGGTCGGTGTGAAGGGATTGGCCACAGGGTGCCCCCCAAGGGCTGAGTCTGAGCCGAGGGCCCAGGTGCCACCAGCTGCACGGCAGCTGTGGCAGTAGCTCAGGCTCTGGAGCGCCCTGTGGAGACGCTGAAGATTGAGGAAGCTTCCTCTGTACCCCTTCACTGTTATAGCAGTAGTCACAGCCAGCCCAAGAGGGCACGCATGACCCACATTCACTCAGCTCCCCTTAGACAGGCAGACTCTGCCCTTTAGACTTCCTGACATGTCCCTCCTGGGGGCAGGGCCCTGATCTTTCTCCCAAGGGCCCGCTGTGTTATCACTGGATTTCTTTCACATGTATCTGAGCTCTGACGGGCTGTGTGGTGTATACCTGTATGACATTTGCACCTGGCCCCAGCAGAGCATGCTGACGTCCTGATCAGGCCATCACAGATGGCCTAACTCAAAACAACAGCAGGAAGCTAGGAGGGTATTTTCCCCCTCCATCATGCAGTGATTTTACACACTTGAGTTCATTGCCGTTCACAGTTATCTTCGTGCTGCTCTGGACATTCAGGTTAACTGGTAATGTAAACAGCCTCCAGCTGACCTGTGGTGCCCGGGCCAGGAGCCTTGTTCTGTCAGGAGGGCTCTCAGTACTTCCGGGAGCCAGCAGGTCAACACCTAAGCTGTGTGACCTGCCCAGCCCCAGGAAACCCTTGTGCCCTCCAGGCTTCGGTTTGCCCATTTCTAACACCGGGGACTGGACATGTGGCGTCCACAGAGGCATTTTGGTGCCATGGTTGGGGGTATAGGAGCTAGTAATGCCAGCTTGGGGGTGGAGGTTAGGGATGCTGTGCTGCTCAGGGGGTGGCCCTGAATGTCAGGGTGGGGAGTGGCGTGGGCTTTTTTTTTAGGATGCGGTCCTGTGATTCCTACTTGTTTGTGCTCCTGACTGACCATGGAAGCGCTGTGTCTCATGGCAGGTCCACCTTTGGTGGTGGCAGCTACCATCTAACCGTGCTGTGGAGGTGACAGGGGGATCAGTGTCAGTGCTGCAGACCCCACCCTAAAGGCCAGGTGCCAGCACACCCTGTGCTGAGTCTTACCCATGGGCCGAGTTTGGATTGTCTCGTGTGTCCAGACTCAAGGGAGTGCCTGGGAACAGGTGCCTGCGTACCCACATCCTCCCCAGAGGGCCTGGGTTATGCCCCGGGAGGTATGTGGCTGGTGCTCCAGGCTGCAGCCACCTCACCCTGGGTCTCTGGCCCTGCAGTTCCTGCGCGTCACCAAGCAGTACCTCCCGCACGTGGCCCGGCTCTGCCTGATCAGCACCTTCCTGGAGGACGGCATCCGCATGTGGTTCCAGTGGGGTGAGCAGCGTGACTACATTGACACCACCTGGAGCTGTGGCTACCTACTGGCCTCATCCTTCGTGTTCCTCAACCTTCTAGGACAGCTGAGTGAGTGGCCCGAAGTCACCCCAGGCGTGCCCAGGGTCCCCATTCCTGCACGAACAGCACTCAACCCAGAGCAAGGCTGTTGGTGATCAGGAGGGTCTGCAGCCTGGGTGGCCACGCTGGGCAGGGTTTGTCTGTGAGCACCAGGTGGGTACCTGGTGCTCAGTCCTGGGCTCACTGCTTTGGAGCTTCTGAAGGACTCAGGCACAGTCCCTGTTCGGAGTGCCCCAGGCAGATGATGCTGGAGACCAGGTGGCCAAGGCAGGCAAAAGGGATCCAGAAAGGCTGACAAGGGCTTGGGTCAGCACAGAAGGGGCGTGTCAGGGCCGCTGGTCTGCTCCTGGCCACCCATCATCTTCTGGTGCAGCCCACCCTCTGCACACTGCAGGGTGGGAAAGAGCCTGTTCCAAGCTGCCCATCGGTGAGGAGATGAGCCTCTGCTGGCCTGCCATTGGTAGATGGCGTGTTGGCTGGGCCAGCAAGGCATCCACGTTGTAGTCTGAGGTTCTCGCTGTGCCGGTGTCTCATTGTGTGGGCCTTGCTGTTGGCTAGAAGTCGCTGTTGGGTTGGGAGGTAGTTCACCCACAAGTGGGCCAGAGAGTTGGACGAGGTGGCAGTATACCGTGAGTGTCCCCAACCCTTGCTGTTCTCTTTCTAGCTGGCTGTGTCCTGGTGTTGAGCAGGAACTTTGTGCAATATGCCTGCTTCGGGCTCTTCGGAATCATAGCGCTGCAGGTACCTGGGGCGTGTGGCAAGTCTCACTTCAGAGTCACAGTGTGGGGCACACGAACAGGTCTCTTGCTCTGGTAGAGATGAGTGTTGGGCCCAGTGTCCTCCCTTCAACCCCGTGTATTTGGAAGTCTGGCTGCCTGGAGCTGCTTGTCTTCGGGGGAAATGCTAGCATTTCCTCCTCCCAAGTTCAGGAGCAGCCACCCGGAGTTGGCTGTAGAGGCTGGTTCTCAACAGGTGCCAGCACCGGGCACTGGGCCCTCTTTTGTTACTTTCCTGAGTGTCCTGAGATGGGCGTGGGTGACATGGACGGCTGCAGCCAGGACGCTGACTGGCGATCACTTTCCTGCCTAAGCAGCAGTGCCTAGTTAGCCAGAAGGAAACGCTCACAGTGGGCTGTTTAATCCAGACCAGTGGTCTCCGAGGAGTCACCTTGTCTAGGACGTCATGCGCACAGCTCTGGCGATAAAACAGGCGCCAGGCCACGCTGCACTGAGAAACAGTGAACCAGATTGCTGGACATGGGGCTGCCCTTGGTGTCTGACAGTGGTTTTGTGTATTTCATATTCGCCCTCTGCTGGATAAACTGCCAATGTCATTCTTAATCTATGGAACTTATTTGAAAGTGCTGATTTACTTCTCTGTCCCACAGACGATCGCCTACAGCATTTTGTGGGACCTGAAGTTTCTGATGAGGTAGGTGTGCTCCGGCGCACTGTTGGCTGGAGGAATCCTCCAGTGCACAGTGCCTCTGAGGAGCAGACTTTCTGGTAGTGTCACAGACCCCGCCGCAGGCCAGCAGGGTGGTGAGAGAGCAGCCTCTCCTGGCCTGGGCATGTGGGCTGAGGGTCGCTCGGGTCCCAGCAGGAAGTGGAGACCAGCTTGGTTGCACCTCCACGGCCGCTCTGCCTCATGCTGGAGGCTGGTGCTGTGTGCTCAGGTTCACCTGGTCCTGCTGAGCGCTGCATGGGCCTCACCTCAGTCTGGCCTGGCAGGCGGATGCCCGGTGAGCTTCAGCTTCCAGCTACCCATTCTGTTCCTCAGGAACCTGGCCCTGGGAGGGGGCTTGCTGCTGCTCCTAGCAGAGTCCCGCTCAGAAGGGAAGAGCATGTTCGCAGGTGTCCCCACCATGCGCGAGAGCTCCCCCAAGCAGTACATGCAGCTTGGAGGCCGTGTCCTGCTGGTCTTGATGTTCATGACTCTGCTCCACTTCGATGCCAGCTTCTTTTCTGTGAGTACTGCTGCCTGCTGGGGGCCCTGGCTTCTCACACCCACTCTGGAGGGGTCTGAACAGTCTGGGCACAGGAAGCGGCCCTTTTACCTCAATCAAATAAGCCCCATCTGTCTCCTGTGCACCAAGAGCTGCCTCCCGGCAGGTGGAGTCCAAAGCCCACTGTCCTCCCCACAGGCCCCTCTGGCCCCACTTGAGCCTTTGCTGAGTGTGTTCATATGCAGTGCTAGGGCAGAGGGGCTGGGCAGGGCGCTGCCACCCGGGGGAGGGCAGTTTCCAGCCTGGATGGCTGGGTGGGCCGAGATGCGTTGGGCTAGAGTGAGGCACAAACCAGCAGCCCGTCCTGGAGTTCATCCTGGTAAATCTCCTGGGCGATGGTTTCCCTCTCCCCAGCCTTCCCCACTCAAATGGGTGGGTGGCTTCATCTGGTTCCCATGTGCTTCCTGCTCTCCCACAGCAGCAGTGGTTGCATCAGCCTGGCACAGGGGCCTTAATGACACAGCCAAAGGTCATGCATGAAACTCCCGAGCTGCTTCCCGCTGATGCCTTGCCTTTCACACCATGCAGATCGTCCAGAACCTCGTGGGCACGGCTCTGATGATCTTAGTGGCCATTGGTTTTAAAACCAAGCTGGCAGCGTTGACTCTCGTTGTCTGGCTGTTTGCCATCAACGTGTACTTCAACGCCTTCTGGACCATTCCCGTCTACAAACCCATGCACGACTTCCTGAAGTACGACTTCTTCCAGACCATGTCAGTAATCGGAGGCCTGCTCCTGGTGGTGGCGCTGGGCCCCGGCGGTGTCTCCATGGATGAGAAGAAGAAGGAGTGGTAACAAACAGTCCCTACCCTACCTGGCCAAGACCCAGCCATCGAGGACTGGTTCAGGGTGGAGCCGAGAAGCTGCCAGCATTTGTCCTCCCCTCCCCTCCCCTCCCTGGTAAAGGCACCGATGTTTTGAGAACTTTATTCGTAGACACCTGGAAACCAACGGGAAGGTCTGCTCTGGAACCAGTCTGGTACTGACCATTGAGTGCTGGCCATCCGGACGGTCAGCCCCCCAGCCCAGGCTTGGAGCGAGTAGTGTGGTGGGTCGTGGCCCCCAGCCCCATTTTGAGTCCTTTTTGGGGCGAGAGCCTTCCAGCTATACTAAGCAGACAATGTCACTCAGAGCAGTCTCCCTTGTTTCTTCGGTTTACATTCTTTGCTCAAAATGACACGATTTGAGATGATCTGTTCAGACACCTCACAGTTAAGCACCCTGGTTTAGAACCGTAACCAGTGGCTTCAACACTTCAACACCGTTCTGCCCGTCTTCTAGTTACTTTCCAGCTCAGCCAGTGAAGACCTAGAGAACCCCAGACCCAGGGAGTGACGCAGTACTGGAGGGGTGGCCGAGGCTGCTGGTGACAGATGTCACTCATTCACAGGCTCGGCTGGGCTCTGTGTCCCCAAGTCTGGCAGTGGGGAGGGCCGGCCAGGAGGCTGCACACAGGATAGCCAACCCCATCAGATCAGCTCGGGGAGCAGCTGCCCTGCAGGTCCCAGCCCAGTTACCTCACTCGACCTTCAGAGCCAGGCCTGGACGCCCCAGCAGCAAGTCACTGTCCCTGAGGCTGTTGCTTGCTCCAGTTTTGTCCAAGATTATGTCTCACAGTTTGTGATGCCTTATCCATTCGGTCTCAATCCTGTATTTAAAGTTTTCTAACATTGCCTTACACTGTGTCCTCTTTTTAGGGGGGAGGGCTCTGATGCTGTGGTTCTGCTCATCTGCATGGCAGTGAGGTCCATGAGGGTGGCTGGGGCCTCTCCAAGCCTCCCCCGGGCCCTTTGGGGAGATTGACCAGAGGCATGGCCCTGGAGGGGACAGTGGCCACTAACCCCATGTCTGTGGCCAAGGTGCATTCCAAGGCCACCCTGGGCCAGGCCTGAGCGGGCAGTGGTGGGGCCTGTGCAGGACAGCAGCTTACACCTGTCCCTCAGTGTTTCCTTCTGATTGGCACAAACTCCCATGCGTAAAATCTAGCAAAGACCGGCCAGGATCTAGCTCAGTGGTTCTGCTGCCTGCCTCGCAAGCACATGGTCCCAAGTCGATCCCCACTACCAAAAAAAAAAGATCTAGCAAGGGCTCCAGGGCACAGGGCCCTTGCCTCCCTGGGTGACGACACCGAAGGGCACCTGTCTCGGCTGGCACGTGCCTCCTCCCCATGAACACAGTGACAATCTCAGACAACACTGGCCATAGAATGACGCCGGCCCCAGGGTCAGCTTTGTCTTCAGCCCAGAGGGCTGGCGCCTGGGGGGGGTGGGGATCCAATCTGCCCATTGGTTTTGGCAAAACAGTTTCTGAAAATGCTTTTGCTTTATGTGGGAATAGGTATAAATCTCATTTTATGCTGTATTTTATATCTTAGTTGTGTTTGAAAACGTTCTGATCTTTGGAAACATTGAAATAAATAATGGCATTTGTGTATGCGGCGTGGTCGCATGGTGGTGTCCAGCCTGGGCAGGGCTCTGGTGAGCTGCGTGCTGCTCAAGACCCAAGGAGCACGGGGTGCGATCTCCCTTGAGCCCTGCTGCTTCGCGGGTGCGGAGCAGGCCATCCAGCCCTTCTTAGTGGGCAGTGAAGGTCAGAGACGCGATGAGAGAGGAGTCACCGAGGGCCTTCCTAACCCGCCTGCTTGAAGGAGCCCAAGCTCTTGGGCCTGCGGTGATGGCTCTGGAGCTTCTTGGTCAGGGAGCCCCGCTGCGTCTGCGGCAGAGCAGAGAGCTCGGTCAGGGCGAGCGGCCTTGCCCCTGCACCAGGGTGCTCTGCGCATGCGCCACCCCACCAGCCCAAGGAGGGCCGATTCCCACCGTTTCCCCGCAGTGCAGTGTGGGGCGGGGCGCCCTCTGCCCTTCGAAGTGAAGACCTGACACCCGCTCCCTTCTCTCCCACAGGGGACAGAAGGGCGCTGCCTGGAGCCAGGCCCCTTCCTCTGGGCTCCTGGGCCACAGGCCATGGCCGCACCCACTACAGCTGGGGGGGGGGTGTCCTTGTCCTTTCAGACCACAGGTCGGGACCTTGCTCCTGGAGGCCCTCTTAACAGCAGCGCCCTCCGCTTCCCCTTGGACATTGTTGGCTTGGAATTCCACTTGTGAAAAAAGTCCTGTTGTTTTTGTTTCTGTGACACAGCCTTGCTAGTATAGTTCAGGGTGAATTCTCTGTGTAGGCCAGGCTGACCTCGAACTTGTGGTCCACCTCCTGCCTCTGTTCTGAGTCTGGGAATAGAGGTGTGATCCTTATTTTCCTAACTAACTGAAACCCACCACTGGGCAGGCTGCCTGCTGGCGGCCAGAAGCGACAGCTCACCTTCCTGCGCTTACAGGCCTCCTCACGGGCCACTTCCATCTCACGCCTGTCCCCGGGGCGCTTCCCTCCTGGGGACCCTGGCTTCTCATCCTCGTGCTCTGTCACAAAGCCATCGGTGTCGACCCCATTCTCAGGCTCTTCTGGGTCCTTTTCGGTGAACAGCTCGGCTAGGAGAAGCAGACATGGGGCTCATCTTCTGCAGGGAGTGAGAGTGCCACCAGCGGCAGGAGGAGGACACCTAGCAGAGCGGGGGCCGCCCAGGAGAGGCAGGTGGGGCGTGGAGCTGGGGGGCAGGACTGTGCTTACGTGGGTACAGGTCTGTCATGCTGTCGTCACTCAGGGCTGCCTCCTCATCACTGGACTCTGGCTGCCAGAAGGTGTCTTTCAGGCCCGGTGGCCTGTTCCCATCCATCTGGTATTCCCTCCTCCGCTTGTGCCGTAGGCAGGCAGGGACGAACTCCACGCCTTGCTTCTGACACTCCTCATCTGGGGACAAGCAGGCTGACTCGGTACCCAACACGCCCTGGTCCTCTGGGTACCGAGCCAACCTGTGTCCCAGGGCTGTGCCACACCTCACAGGATGAGCACCAGCACGGCACAGCGGGCACCTGGACTCGGGGACAGAGCTGGCAAGCTTGGGCTGCTCCCCCCGAGCCTGGCCAGGCCGCAAGCAGGCAGCCAGGGGGCACTGCACAGGCCCCATGTGCGCCCCACAGAGGCTGGACAAAAGCCACAAGCCTGTCACCTGCAGACAGCAGTCCTCTCCCCAGTGCCCAACGGGCCAGGCCTGGGGGCTCAGTGAGAGCCAGCTGGCTGCCGAGCCCTGGGGGCTCCTGGGCTTAGAGCCCGGGAGTTGGCATGAGGCTTTGGGAAGCCCCTTGCTGGGGTCGCCCTGCTGTCTCCTCCTGTCCCCAGGCTGGTACAGCTCAGCACTCCAAGTGTGGGCTCCAGGAACCAGGGGCCAACTAACCTGTGAGGGAGACCTGGCTGCCCTTCTGCGCTGGGAGGTAGAAGCCCAGGGACTCCCCTCCCCATCTTCCCATCCTCAGACTAACCAGGCAGATGCATCACCTGGGGGCCGCAGAAGGGTGACAAGGAGCCACTGCTGCCTTCACAGGGCGCACTCTGGCCAAGGGGAGGTGACAGCAGTCAAAGGCCTGTGCAGGGCCACTTACATTTCCGCAGTGCTCTCTGGTACCGATGGCCCTGGGTGTGCCTCAGCACGTGCTCCGGAGACTTGTTGATGTGTCGAAGAGTTAGTTTGCAGAACAACTGGTGCCTACGGGGCAAGAAGACCAGCGTGCAGGAGGTTCAGGGGAGAACCTATGGCCCTGCCACACGGCTGTAAGCAGGATCGCACCGAGAGCTGGGCATGGGGGTGATGTAGCCTGAGCGTCGGTTTTAAAAGATTCGGAAACAAACCCATGGCGCGGCTGGAGTGGAAACCACTGACCCACACGGTCTGTGACCTCTTACTGTCGCCTGAAAGGCGGGCACAGCCCCGACGCCACCCCAGGGCGAGCGCAGGCGGGAGGCAGCCTGCGCGCGAAGGCCCTTGTGTGGGACCTTTGCCACCACTTCCTCCCTCCGACGGCGGGCCAGCCACAGGCTGCACCCACACCGAGGGGCCCCGCGGCGAGGGTGGACCCTGTCTCAGTCCAGTAAGGGCGCGCCGGCCACCTACGGGTGCTTGGTGCTGGGCACGATGTGCGGCTCGAAGTCTGCGTAGTCAAAGGCCGGAGAGGCGCGCGCCAGTCGCTGGTACTTCTTGCCACGAGTGTAGACCTGCAGCTCGGGCAGGCGGCAGGGCAGCTCGTGGCCCGTCAGGGAGCAGCGCACCTGCAGAGGCGGGCAAGGCCGGATCAGGGCCCCGGCGTACCCCGCTACCCTCCTCGTCCCCGCCCCTCCGCGTCCCTCTCCTCCTGGTGCGGACCCTGTTGGCGCCAGGGAGCAGCCTCCCCTCCTCGTCCCCGCCCCTCCGCTCCCCTCTCCTCCTGGTGCGGACCCTGTTGACGAAAGGGAGCAGCCGCAGGCTCGGATGCTGGCTCAGGAAGGCCTGCAAGGCGTCAGATGGCTCGCCCATGATCAAGGCTGCGAGCCGCCAGGCGCATGGGCGTGGGGCGGGGCAGGACCCGGAAGTAGACGCCCAGCCCCGGAAGCAGACACCCCTGCCCCCGGAAGCGCTCCCTGGTGGCAGGAACGATGGTGGCGGGGGTTCCTCGAATGCTGGGGCTGCGGGCCGCGAGGCTGCTCCGCACGGCGTGCGTGAAGCCGGTGAGCGGAGGCAGAGTGGGGAGCGGAGGGGAGGCCGGAGGGAGCGCGGGGTCGGGCGGGAGCTCAGCCAGACGTCCCGTCCCCGCAGGCCTGCGCCTCCCGGAGTGTCCTCACAGTCTCCCCACACCCAGGTGAGCAACGCGTGCGGGCTCGGAGCGGGTCTGGGGCTGCAGGCCCTGCAGTCACCGCGTGGTGGGCGCGGAGAGACTCGAGGACAGCGCCTCAGGTCACGGTGACGGGCTGCGCCTCCCCGCACAGCCCTGGGATCGGCTGCCTGGACGTTCGGCAGGCCTGGATCAGCAAGGCTTGGGAGGCTCTAGGGATCTGAAAGCTTGAGGTCCCTTCTGTGGATTTTGTTCCCCCCCAGCATTTATGGCGAGCAATGAAACGAGAGGCTGTTGGGAGTTTCGTAAGTCAGTGCCCTGAGTTTATGACATGCTTCTTCCTGGGTAGCACAAAGCTTTTAGTGCCTGGCTGAGATCCCTATTAATTGTAGCTGCTTTTTACGTGGGCCAATAAATGAATACCTGCGCAGATCAGTGCGCTAGAACACAGCACATTTTTGAGTCGGAAGTTAGCCTGGCGAGGTGGCACGTTTGCAATCCCAGCACGCTGGGGAGCTGAAGCTTGAGTCCAGCCTGGGAAATTTAGCAGTTTAGTAAGATCCTGTTTCAAAATAAAAAGAAAGAAAAGAAAAGGGCTGGGGACGTATCTCAGTTCGAAGGCCCTGAGTTCAATCCCAGCATCGCAAAAAAAAAAAAAAACGTCCTGAGGTGACGTGGTCCTGGTTGAGGGTAGAGCCAGCAGTGAGCTCTGGTCTCAGTTGTTCACTCACAAACGTGTGCTGGGCACTGGGTGAGCAGCAGGGCTGGACACAGGTGCTGCAGGTTGGCAGAGGGCCGGGTTCTGTTTGCTCACTCTTCCACTACACCCTTGGGGCTGCACAGGGGAGCCTTTGGCTGCTGAGTGCTGTTTTATGGCTTCTGACCACAGGGCAATGCTGTAAAACTTCCTCAGGGGTGTCATGGATGCCAAGCAGGTGCAGCAGCACTGCAGCAGAAGCCCCGGCCACAAAGCCAGAAGATGACTCTGTCCTCCAGTGGTTGCTGCTTCTCATCCCTGTGACTGCCTTTGGCCTGGGCACGTGGCAGGTAAAGACTGGTGTCTGGCACGGGTGCCCCCAGCCCTTGATCCTGCTGCCGTCTGCCTGGTTTAAGCTGTTTCTCTAGGTCCAGCGTCGGAAATGGAAGCTGAAACTGATCGCAGAATTAGAGTCTCGAGTCATGGCTGAGCCCATCCCTCTGCCGGCAGAGTGAGTGTGGCTTCCTCGTGGGGCCTGGCCTCTGTTCTTGTCCTGTCCATCATGTCCCTGACCTGAAGGAGCCCTCAGATCAGTCATGCAGGGCTTGCTGTTGACAGCAGGCGACTCTTGGGATGACACTTTTCATGCTAGTTTTCAGCCTCTTCAGATCTTGAGCTGTCCCGCTGTGCTGGCAGCTCTGTGGCAGTGATCTTGGTGGGTGAGGGCAGGTCACACAGGGCTCAGCATAAGTGTAGTGGTTTGCAGAAAGTGCGCAGAATGACCTAGCTGCCCTCTCCCCTCATCTGAAAGCACGGTCTTAAAGTGCCACTGGCATTTAACAAAGAGAACACTGCCATATTTGCCTTGTAGATGGGGTTTGGGTCCGTTTTATTACTTTTATGTAAAACACTCATACAGAAAGCCACATAACTAGTTTCATGTCGACAGCACAGACCTGTATTCCCATGGTATCACAGGGCTAGCGCTGAGGGCCAGCCCCTTCCGGGGTACACCCTGAGGCCCACTGGTCTCCACTGGACCTGACCTGCCCCTTCATTGGGATCAAACTCAGGACCTTGCACCTTCGAGGCAGGCACAGTTGAGTGCCACTGAGCTAAATCCTGGGCTCTTTGTTTTTGTATCACTGGTGGTCTGGTCATTCGAAACGCCCTTAAGGGGACTTACTGGCGATGGCTCTTCTCTCCTTGTAGCCCAGTGGAGCTGAAGAATCTGGAGTATAGGCCAGTGAAGGTCAGGGGCCACTTTGACCACTCCAAGGAGCTGTACATCATGCCCCGGACCATGGTGGACCCTGCCCGAGAAGCCCTTGAGGCTGGCCGCATCTCCTCCTCAGCCGAGAGCGGGGCCTTTGTAGTCACCCCCTTCCACTGCACTGACCTGGGGTAAGTAGGTTGTGCAGGGTGCTGACCTGGTTGGCAGAGGAAGTGGGTTTTTATCACTGTCCATCCCAATTGTCAAGACCCCAGAGGATCCACAATACCCAGAAAGCTTCGATTCCCTGGTTAAAATCGCCAATTCTGGCATCAAGCAGCCTTTTCATTACTGAATAGGATGTTAAACACTGACGAGAAGGGAAGTTACTATGACAGCCCTCCCCCAAAAACCCAGTGGCCAACAAGGTAGGCTGCTGTGGTGCAGCACGAGGGGCAGCCAGAGCAAGGAATGAAGCTGGGAAGGCTCTCCAGGGGCTGTGTACACCCTAGGAGTTAGTACAAAGAGCATTCTGGGCAAAGCAAAACACCCAGGCCTCATCAGCCCCCAGGGTCTGGGCCGGGGCCTGAGTGCTCCCTGTCCAGCAGGCTGCCCCTTGCCAGCGCCGTCCCCATGGCTCTTAGGTGAGAGGTGGGGCAACAAGACAGGGGAGGGTGCAGGAGTGGTAAAAGGCAATGGCAGGGACTGCCAATCCTGAGGGCAGGAGAGAAGACTTCCCCAGAGTGGCATGGCCCTTGCTGGTATCCAGGGCCTCGGCCATTTCAACTCATAGCTGTGGTCTGCCCCAGATTGGAGCCCTTCTAGAGATGCCATAAACAGTTCTGCCCACCTGAAATAGCACTTCCATTCCTCCAGAGTCACCATCCTGGTAAACAGAGGATTTGTCCCCAGAAAGAAGGTGAATCCCGAGACCCGGCAGAAAGGCCAGGTGAGGAAGCGCAGGCTGTTCCTTGTGAGGGCCTCATCTGTCACCTGCTCTCCAATGAAACAGCCTCTAATACTCTGTAGGTCGAGGGAGAAGTGGCCCTAACTGGGGTGGTGAGGCTGACAGAAACCAGGAAGCCCTTTGTCCCAGAGAACAGCCCAGAAAGGAACCACTGGCATTACCGGGACCTGGAGGCCATGGCCAGGACCACAGGCGCAGACTGTATTTTCATCGATGCAGATTTCAGTATGTTGTGGCCTGCCCAACACTTCTCACTCACTGTAGCCCCTGCCCTAGCATGGGAGTGGGCCCTTAGCCACAGAGAAGGCTGGGATATTTGGGGGAAAGGAGGAACCTGAGAGTGATAGGTTCCGGGCAGAGGCCTGTCACTCAAGAACCTGCACAAGTGAGGACAGGAGCCCACCGTCTTCACAGAGAGCACCGTCCCTGGAGGACCCATCGGAGGGCAGACCAGAGTCACCCTGCGGAATGAGCACATGCAGTACATCATTACCTGGTCAGTCAGTCTCTTCGGCCCTGGGCCTCCCCTCAGGCACCAGTGTGCAGCTTGACAACCTCATGTTCTCTTCCCCAGGTACGGGCTGTGTGCAGCCACATCATACTTATGGTGTAAGAAGTTTCTACACCGGATGCCTGGCATGTGACAGGGTCAGTACAGCCCTGCCCCTATTTAAAATAAAAAGCTTGCTTGTAAAAGAAAACCTGAGCTCTTTGTGTCACAGTTCCACGCAAGCATTCTGCCTGCACACCTGCCACCACTCCAGACAAGTGTACGCTGGGTAAGGATGATTTATTATTTATATACAGGAAACTCAAGGGCACACTTAGCCCAGCTTAGTGGCAAGTTCTTTAGCTTTTGCCTTTTCCAACTTGGCGATGCGAGCCACAGATTTGGGACCCAGGACATTGCCTCCCCAGTGACGGCGGATCTGAAATGACAAAAGAGCAGTCAGTGTGGCCTGGCACCCGCCAAGACTTTTCAAAGCACATGTGCAGGGCTGGGGGTGCCTCACTGGGACAGCTCATCTAGCACCTGTCACCCAGTCCTGGGGCTTAAAGCGTGTACTCGACCCCACTCTCTAACGCATCCAAGTGGATCACACCAAGCAGCACTGCTCAAGTTGGTCCCTTGAGAACAGCTTGATTTACCCAAGACCTTACCTGTGTACAATCACTGCTTACCTCATCATATCTGTCGTTGTAGTTGGTCCTGATTGCTTCCACCAGCTTGGCCAGAGCACCTTTGTCTTCCCTAACAAGGAAGGCAGGGGTGAAAGAAATGGGCGTTTAGCCTTGGATCTTAGGAAACAGGAATGACTTCCACTGTAGTTTGAAATATGAGCCTTTTTGCCTCAGATAAAACATGACCACATGGGTTATTCAGGTGAAGAAATTCTTAACCATCACTGGCAAACATTCAGATTAGAGTACTCACTGCACAAAGACACTTGTCCCAAGTCCTGAGGGGCGGACTAGGCGACCTGGCTGTGTACTTACGAGTTGACTTGTGTGAAGGCAACGGTGGTACATGTCTTCCTGTGGACTAGACGGCCTAGCCTTGCCTTCCCCTTGATGATACAGTAAGGGACCCCCATCTTGCGACACAGGGCAGGCAGGAACACAACCAGCTGGAAGACAGGATGGGCTGGAGTATGTTCTTACCGAAACCAGTTCTCCAAGAGCTGGCTTGGTGGCAACTGCTCAGGGTTAAAAAGCTCATGTACTTCAAGGTATAATTCAGCGAGAGATTCACATCATTGCAAGTGCCACACAGAATCCACTCATCTTACTCCCCCCCCATCCAGGAAAGGCTCCTGTGTTCAGAAGTGGGACTATACAAACATCTTTGATCACAGGGGTGATACTCAGTCCACTGATAAAGAGTTCCCAGCTGAATATGCTCCTAGGTGAGGCAGGGTTGGAAGACGGGTGTCCCTAGGCCTGTGACCTAGGACTTGTGCTTGTCCCCAGTCCCCTCCCCTCTGACAGCAAGGGCTGAATTCCTGCTATGTGGCTCAACCACTTCCTCCATGTTGTATGTATATGCAAGGCATTTTGTCTCAGCAACTTAAAATTAGCCAATACAGGGGCTGGGGATTTAGCTCAGTGGTTTTGCCACCTGCTGTGAAAACGCAAGGACCCAAGTTCAATCCCCGGTACAAAAAAAAGTAGGATGATGTAGAAAAGAAATTATGATGTCTTTGGGCCAGGGATTTGGCTCAGCGGTTTCGCTGCCTTCTGCGCAAGGGCCAGGACCCGAGTTCGATCCCCGCTACCAAAAAAACCCAACAAAATGCCTTCCCTGGTCACCTAAAATTAGCCAATACAGATACTTTATCAGCATCCTCCCCAAATCCTGTTGGCTGTTCTGGCCACAGCGCCAGACTCCACATTACACCTACTCCGTGTTCCCAGTTCTGCCTGAAGACCCTGGTCCAGCAGTCACTGCTCAGAAACCCAGCAGGCCTACCTCAATGGGGTCCACGTCGTGCGCGATCACCACTAGTTGAGCCTTCTTGTTCTCTACCAGAGTAGTGACAGTGTTAACACCTGGAACACAACCACTGTGTGTGAGTCCTCAGGATGCTCTGGTTACAGCCCGGATGCAGCTGTGACCAGCTGTGACTCAGTGTTAAAAAGCTCAGTTTACAGTGACTTCAGGTGAAGAAATTCAAGCACCGCTGCCCAGCGTGGCCTCCCATCTGCCCCAGGCCCCCACCTGCTCTGAGGACTGGTGGTCTCCGAGTGGGGACATCCCCTTTGCCAGCAGCTTTCTTCTCAGCCCGCGCCAGCAGCCTCTGCTTCTTCTCTTGCTTCGTCTCTGGTCTGTACTTATGGGCGAGCTTAAGCAGCTGGGTAGCTAGAAAAGCATCCTTCGGTTACCCTCTGCAGTGTAGGGCCCAACCGATCACTTAACATGATATAAACGCTGGGTCCCTAGCAGTGCTGAGGACTGAACCCACAGCCTACAGAGCTATACCACCAGCTCGCTCTTAGGAATCCCAGGGCCATGCACCATCTTTTCAGTTAGGCCAGCATCCTGGGTAGCAGCAGCGAGGCCAGTTCCACACCACAGAAGCCCACCTGTTTGGCGATCCAAGGCCTGAGTGAACTGGTTAATTGCAGGAGGCACCTTCAGCCGCTTATACAGGATAGCCCTCTGCCGCTGCAGCCGGATGTAGCGGGGCCATTTGACAAAGCGGGTGAGGTCTCTCTTGGGCTGGATGTCCTGTCCTGAGAAGAGGTTAAGAATATGAATGAGGCTCAAGCCCTGGGTCAGAGCACACCGGGGCCACCTGGGAGGGTGTTGGTGCATCAGCGATCTTGGTGGTTTGAAACGTCATCACTGTCTTTCAGATAGCAAATATTCTCTCACATCATCTGCACCCAACACCTAGGCCTGGCAGCCAGCGGCGACTCTCCTCTGTAAGAAGTCCAGCCTACCGTCCCCTGAAGCCCAGAGCCGAAGACACCCACTAAACACACCACCACTGTCCCCACGCAAGGGGCGGGGCTCAAGCAGTGGGTCCAGTTTTCTAGAAAAGCTGCAGAATGAATCCAACGGCAGCAGGCGACCCACCCTGCTGGCTGCACAGTAGTACGTCGTCGTGCCGACAGGGTCTCGTCGGCAGCTCAGGCCGGCCTTGCGGCCCAGCGATCCTCCCGCCTCAGCCCCCAGGTGCTGCGATCACAGGCCTGCGCCACCACCCCGGCTCGAGATGCCGCCACTCTCCCGAGAAAGCCATTGCGCAGTCACTCTGATTCTCCCTCCTTTACTCACCAATGCCAAAGTTCTTTGGCCTCTTCTCAAACAGGGGATTGACCACCTTCTTGGTCTCCTGCTTCTTCACGACAGCAGGAGCCGGGGCCACCTTCTTCCCCTTGGCCTTCTTCCCCTTCGGCTGAGCACAAAGGAAAACCCCATTAGGCCGGCCCCCGCGACGCCCGGCACCCTCCGGACGGGCGAGGTCTTACACAGCATTTGCAGGCGCACTCGAACCGAGGGATCCGGCACGGGACGCAGGCGGGCTGCTCCGTGGCGCGGTTTGTGTGCCCGGCCGCCGCCCGGCGCAGCAGCCAGGGCCCCAAGCCGGCTCCACGTCGGCGGCAGAGGCCAGCCCATCCGGTCCCTGACGCCGGATACCCGGCTCAGTGTCTCCCTGCTAGGCCCGGGAGACCTCTTCCAACACCAAGCCGAATCGGGGACCCCGCGCGGCCGCAGCCAGGGGCGGATGGCGGCGGATAGATCCCGGAGGGAAATGCGGGACCTCAGAACTCAGACTCACTCACCATCTTGAGCGGCTGACAGAAAGAGAAAGTAAAAGGAATTGTGGGTGATATGTAAGCGGCAGCGGCTATCGCGAGAGCTGGCGCCTACGCGGGACTTTGGATTTAAAGCGACGGGACTCCTTAAATCCTTCGGTCGGGAACGGTGCTTAGAGCGACTTCGCGCTCAGCCAGGAGGTGGGGCGGGGCGGAGAGGCCGTTGTGGGTCGCTTGGTCCCGCAGAACCGTCGGTAAGCGCAGCTTGGGGCGATCCTGAGTGCCCAGGAGGCTGGCCTTCCTGTGCGGACCGGGTCCCGAGCCCCGGAGTGGCAGGGCCGGGGAGGGAAAAGGCCGCGGGGGACCTGGGGCGCGGGGCGGGATCGGAGGGACGGAGACCTGCGGCTGGGGCCCGGGCGTTGGAGCGGAGACACCCCAGCCCCGACGGCATGGTCCGCGCCTGCGTGGGACAGCCCCGGGCTGGCGGGGTAACCCAAGCAGGTGGGCCGTCCAGCTTGCCCACCCACTGGACTGGACAGATGTAGCTGGCCTGTCGGGTGCTGGGTGCGCGTTCCCGGGGAGAGGGGTGAGCCGAGGACAGCTCCGACCCCGCTGTGCCTGCTGAGGAGTGGGGTGACCCTGTGGCAGAAAGGGGCTCCTCAGAGTTCTTCACGTTCTGCTCGGGTGGTGGAGGGCGGCAGAGCCTGTCTCGCCCACACGAAGGTCTGTCCTGCACTGTGTCAGGGTCCCTGGCCTCCACTGCGCTGCCTGAGCCTGTCATGGCCCAGCAAAGAGCCCTACCCCAGAGCAAGGAGACGCTGCTGCAGTCCTACAACAAGCGGCTGAAGGACGACATCAAATCCATCATGGACAACTTCACTGAGATCATCAAGACCGCCAAGGTGGGTGGGCGCTGTCCTCTGAGACCTGGGGAGCCAGAGCCAGGGGCCCCCGCACCCACCATCCCGGGGGCCTGTGCTCTGTGCTGGAGCTGGGACACAGCAGGGAATGGGACAGGAATGGCCCTTGTCCTGTGCAGAAAGCATTTTAGGGTAGGTAGGGGTGGCAGGGTGTCATCACAAACAGGTCAACAGAGAAGCAAAGGAACCAAATAGTTGCCAGGCCTGGTAGAGCCTAACTGGGAGAGCTCCAAGCCCAGCGCTTACCAGCCTTGTGGGTTTGATGGGGATTTCACTCTTCAGTGCCTCAGTTTCCCCAGCCTTGTGGGCCCTCGTGATGAGTTCGTGTGGAGCAGTTACTGCAGGGCCTAGAACAGAATGAGTTACCCAGTCCTGGTTCCTACTACAAGTGAGAGTGAACAGCAGAGAAACGGGAGGCCAGAAGCCAGGCAGGCCCCTCCAGGCAGGCAGAGCAGTCAGTGTCTTGGTTGGGGCCAGGCTGACCCCACTGCTGCACCCAGGCCGGCTCGGTCGGCCAGAATGGTAATAAAGGGAGCTGACATTTATTTAGCTCAGTCAGGCCCAGGGCTATTTGTGTTGCTCTGCTTAATCCCCCCTACAACTCTGTGAGGCAGGTACCCTTGTCCTTTCCACAGTCAGAATGGGAAACTGAGGCCCAGAAGACTCCATAACTTGCCCGTGGTCACTTAGCTAACTGACAGAGCTAGGATTTGAACTCGAGGAGTCTGGCTCTGAGCTCATGCCCCGTCCATTCCATCCTAAGGCCCTGTTGGAAGCTCTGGCCAGGCTGGCTCCCAGGTCCTTTGAGCAGACGTGCTGGGCTGGTCTCCTGGCTCCTCTGTTTCAGAGACACCGTGAACCTCTAACTGGCCCATCTGTGGGCCTAGCATGGCAGGCCAGGCTTGAGTCATGGACAGCAGCAGTGTTAGTACAGAGCCCGGCGCCCTGGCAGCAATCAGGAAATGTTTGCTCAACAAAGTGCGTTGTTGCTGGGAGTGGTGGTGCACACCTGTAATCCCACCACCAGGAGGCTATGGCAGGAGGATCACTGTGAGTTTGAGGCCAGCCTGAACTACACAGGGAGACCCTGTCTCAAAAAAACACACACAAAACAAAATGCATTTTTTTTCCCCCTGTTATTCAATGATTTACCTAGTGCCTGAGCCAGCACACCGGTCCCTGCCAAACAGGGTTCACACGCTAAAAGGACTTGGCCCCATTCATTAAGACCCCGTCCCTGTTCCTAGTGCAGCTGTCAGTGCAGGCAGCTGTGCCTTGGTCCCCAATAAGGTGCTGGTGTCTCCCACAGAACAGAACAGGAGAAGGGGAACAGAACGTTGCCAGGATCCGCTGAGTGGAACGCTGGGGCTACACGTGGCTAGCTAGACTGGCTGTAGCAACGTGGACACACCAGCGGCCATCTGGTTCCTGACTGCCAGGCTGGGCCAGCAGCAGGGACTCTAGGACGGGTCAGCTGAGCTGATCCTAGGCTTTCTTGCTTGTCCACAGATCGAGGATGAGACGCAGGTGTCACGGGCCACTCAAGGTGAACAGGACAATTATGAGATGCATGTGCGAGCTGCCAACATCGTGAGTACCCCAGGCAGAGGGTGTGGCCGGGCCTCCAGGTGGTCTCCGCTGGAGTTAGGTCTTCAACATGCTGAGCTGCTTTGATTTCACCCGTAGGCAGTTTCTGAGAGCGGGGTACAGCAAATCAGTTCTCAGGAGATTGTCCCCAAGAGGGGCACTGGTCTGCCCAGTCCACCCTGGTGTTGTATGGTGGGCAGGAGCAGGCAGCCCTTCCCACTGACCTGAAGATTCCCTGAGTCACTGTGAGTGCTGTGATCCCTCCAGATATCAGAGGAGAACCCAGCAAGCCAGGGTCCCTGCAGGTGTGTGCCACGGGTGGAAATGCACGGGGCAAGGCCCCTAGGAGCCCTGCTCAACTGCTGCCTCTGAGAAGAGCAGGGCAGGAGGCGGAGTACGACGTGGGCTTCCTGGGGGTTTGGGTGCAGTGTGCAGAAGAGTGTGTGCATAGCCTGTCCAGTAGCACTTCAGGCCCATGGGGGTGGGAACCAGGGCCCGGGAGGGAGAGCTAGGGAGCAGCCTGTCCCACCTGCCCATCGGGATGGGTGCTGGGCCCTGGCTCCCCTAGCTCAGATTTCAGTGTTTTCGCTTATCCTCAGATGGCCTCATGCTGGCTGGGGTCTCCGTCTCCTTTTGGAGATGAGGGAGCTGAGGCTCCCAGGGAGGCCACTGCTGTGCCCTCACGCTGTGCCTGCCCTGGTTCTGGTGGCTGCAGGTCCGAGCAGGTGAATCCCTGATGAAGCTGGTGTCCGACCTCAAGCAGTTCCTGATCCTCAACGACTTCCCATCAGTGAACGAGGCCATCGACCAGCGCAACCAGCAGCTGCGCACCCTTCAGGAGGAGTGTGACCGGAAGCTCATCACCCTGCGGGATGAGGTCTCCATCGACCTGTACGAGCTGGAGGAGGAGTATTACTCATCCAGGTACAAATAGGGCGGAGCCAGCAGGCGGGTGGCCCTGCCTGGAAGGGCCTGGTTTCCCCTAACAGTCTGATGGACAGACAGCTCACACCTGCTCGCGGGCTCAGCCGTTCCCTCAGCGCTGAGCAATGGAAACCTCAGGACATGTGTCAGGGAGGCGGAGTCTGGAGAAGGGGGTTCTCTGGGCCTCGCTGTGCTTGGCTCTTGAATCCATACATAGACATTTCAGCTGAGGCTAAAGGCCAGGCCCACACTCATGTCGAGGACACCATGTTTGCCCAGATGCAATTCCATGTGGATGTCACCGAACCCCACAGTGTGGAGACAGGGCGGCCCTGGGAGGGACGAGGGAGACCGAGCAGAGAATGGCATGGACCCAAGCCTGGGGTATTCGGATGTCTGGTTTCTGGTCACCGCAGCCTTACTCACGGAACAGGGGCCTCTGCATGCTGGCCCAAGGGACAGTGGTCATCCTAGCCCTCGTGGGACCACTTGGAATCCTGAGACCTGACACCTCCTGAGCCAGAGGGGTCCTGGAAATCAGAGTCCAAAGTAATATTCACGTGGTGGGAAGCAAGTCTGGCGGGGGCCTCATCCTGCCCCACTGGCAGGCTGTGCAGCTTGGGACCAGCAGTCATAAAGCTCAGGCACCGTGAGCCTTCCACACAGTCGTCCTCCCTCCTGGCCCCTTCACCCAGAGCCAGTTCGGTCTGGGCTGGGCTCAGGTTCTCTGCCCAGCTGGAGTGGTTCTAGAGTTAGGGTGTTCTGGGGCTAGCTTGGCTGGTCCTCCCCAGGGAGGCAGAGTGGGTCCTGGGGTGGCTCAGGGTCCCCTGGGGCAAAGCTCTTCTTTGAGGCTTTTGAGGCGGCTGCTGGCCTGGAGCCCCAACAGAGCAGCCATGGGGCAGTAACTTTAGCCGCAGGGGGCTGCCGGCCAGTGGGAGGAAGGCTCAGCCTGAGGGCACACAGCAGAGTGGGATAGGAACCTGGGACCATGAGTGCCAGGCTCCCGAAGTCCCTGGTCTGCCCCCAGGCCAGTCTGTGTCTCTCCCGCAGGTGTCCCGTCCACTCCAGCCAGCCCCTCCCTCCTGCAGCCCCGTGGTGAAGCAGCTGCCCCTCCATAGGCCCCTTCCACCTGTGCCACGCATGTGCCAGCGCTCGCCCTCTCTGCCCTCTCTCTGCTGCTCGCTCTCTCTGGCTCTGCCTCTGCCCTGCTCTCCTGTGGGTGTCACTCTGTCTTGGACGGTTCTGAGGCTGGTGTGGGGGAGGCCAGGGCCATCAAGTACACATTCGCTGTGGGGCATCCCTGCTCCAAGTAGCCACTGCCATGACTGACAGCCAGGCTCTGCCTCGAGTCCCCCGGTATGTGGGGAGTCTGAGTGCACAGAGCCCTAGAGCGGTGGTGCAGGGACATGCTGGGGCCCACGAAGATGGGGACCCCGCAGGGGCTAGGAGATGCCAGTGGAAGTCAGACCAGAGGGCTGCAGCTCAGCGGGTGGGGGCGCCGGCTGAGGTGGCACAGCCTGTAGGTGGCTTCCTCCTTTCAGGAGGAAGGGCAGCCGCCGCGATGCCCTCCCCTGGCCAGGCCTTCGGAGTAGAGGAAGGGATGGCAGCTTGGGGCCGCAGCCATGTTTTCTTAACTCTGCTTCTGTCTTGCTTCTCCCCTCTCGGCTTTCCTCTCTGCCTGCTCCTGTCCCTCCCTGGGGTTTCTGGTGGTGGAAAAGCTCAAGTCTTTGCGAAGCTAATGACTTGCCTCTGTGCGAAGCTTACTGGAGGCTGGACCTGGACACAGACTCTGCTGATGGCCTCTCGGCCCCTCTGCTGGCATCCCCAGAGCCTGGCACTGGCCCCCTGCAGGTTGCAGCCCCTGCCCACTCCCATGCTGGTGGCTCCGGCCCCACAGAGCATACCTGAGCTTCCTGGGATGCCCTCCCTGCGCCCCTGCTTTATCAGGAACAGAGTCCAGTGCCCCCCCCATGCCCCCTGCAGCCTCACTTCTTAGAGACCCCGGGACCCAGGAGCCCCTGTGACCTCCTTGGGAAGCTCCCGGGACGCTGGGCAGAGCTGTTCCAGCTGCTTCCAGGGTGGCCTGTCGTCATCTCCAGCTGCTGCCTTCTGGGCTGGCCAGGTGGGAGGAAGTTGAGGCCCTGGACTGGGCAGGGAGCTTGACTGACAGCAGAAGGCACCTCACTGAGTTTAAAACTGGGGGCCGCCCAAAGTGCATGGCCAAGCCCCGCCTCCCGTCCTCGGGCCATGGTGCCTTGCAGAGCCCTCCCACTGCCTTTTGCCCTGGTATACCCTTCTGTGCCATGGATTGGGTACCCTGGCAGGCCCCTGTGGGGGCTTCTCCCCATATCCTGTTGCCATGTCTGTTCTGCCACTTTTGTAATGAGACTGAATAAAAACACTGCCACTCTTTCAACTGCTTCCTCATCCTCATCCCTGGTCAGCCCGGGACCACCCTTGGGCACCCAGCCACATCTGAGCATCACTTCTTCACTGCCTGGGTGGCCTTGGGATCCAGACTAGGCCCCTCCCACTGGCACCCAGCAGGTCCTCCATGTCTGGTGAATGAACGAAAACACTGCTGCCATGACTGTCTCTTGGGTGGCTCTGTGTGTTAGGCACCTCTGCCTCTGCTGTCATCTCATTCTCATGTCACCTCTGGTGCTGTTAAAAGCCTGCATTTCACAGGGTGGCAGATGTGGGCTTGGAACTGGCAGTGTGCCCATGCTACAGGGCCAGAAAGTGAAGTGGCAGAAACAGGTTTTGAACCCTGGATGGCACCAGGCTCACTGTAGCATGCAGAGACCACAGTGCTGGGGCAGGATGGGGGTGTCAGATCAGGAGAGATGGGGTTCAGCCCTACCCCAACTGCCATCCACACACCCTGTCTCCTTCCCAAGAAGGAAGATAGAGACCACTGTCCCCAGTGTTGGCAGCTTAGGTAACAGGCTGACGGTCACCCGGGGCCCTGGCCCTGGAGTCTAGACTGCGTGGAGCGAGAGTCTTCCACTGGTAAGATGTTGGGTGGTCTCCTGCAGGATTGTAATTGTGGGATGGGCCCGTACTGAACCACTAAGGAAGAAAAAGCGCTTACAACCAGATGGAAACACAAGGCTTTCAAAAACTTGAGTAATAAAATCTTTGTATCACAGCCTTTTTATTCTCTGCTTGGCCAAAGCCGTTCAACATTGAAATTTCTCCCTGGAAGCAGCTCCTTTGGGCACAGCTGTTGCTCCTGGCAGCACTCCGTGAAAGGCCCCCCTCAACAGGTTCTGTGGAGCCTGCCTGCGGCAGGCAGGGCTCCTCTCCGTGACTCCCGCAAAGCCACAGTATAGTCACCAGCGCTAAACCCTGGTCAGTCCTGTCTAATTCCACCTTTCTGATCCCAAGCATTTCATTTTGAGGATGCTAGAGCCTCAGGAAAAGTTAAAGGTAGTATTATAGAGTTATAAGTAGTGTGTGGAAACAACACCCACTTAGGCCCTTTGGGGGGCCCAGCCCTTTGCAATTTCTCGTGTATGAAAACAATTGGACTTCATTTGCAAACTACTCATCAGCTTGCCAAGAGAATGTTCTTCATGGCCCCAGACCATCCACTAGCAAAACGAGGGGCTGTTTCATGTCACCCGCATCCCCGCCACACTGTTCGCCGTGTGCTTTTACAGCTGTTTTTACTTTGCATCCCTTTTAGTTGCTGTGTCTTCTCAAATCGGGCAGAACCCGGGGGGCAGTGACACGGGATGCGCAGGATGCCGGACGCAGCTGCAGGGCTGCAAGTGGGGAAGAAGCCAGGGTGGGTCGCGGATGACCGAGCAGGTCCCGGTGCGGGGCGTCACCGCCAGGGTGCGGCGCGGGGCTCGGCAGCCACCGAAAGCGGGACCGGGGACAGCGCCCGGCACGCGGAGCCACAGGCGACCTCTAGGTGGTACCCGCTCCAGTGCGGACCCACAGTGCCCCGCGCCGGTCGGGCTGGCTAATCGAGCGCCGGTCGGGCTAATCGAGCGGTCGAGCTGGCGCATTGGCGCTCGGCTGGCCGCGCCTGCGGACGCAGCGGTTTCCGGCGAGTCGCGCGGTCCTGGGGCCCGGGTGTGGGACGGGGTTAAGCGCGTCATCCCTTCCCGCGGGTTGAAGTCATGGCCTCCCTGCTCGCCAAGGACGCCTACCTGCAGGACCTGGCCAGGAAGATCTGCGTTCAGCCGGGCCCGGAGCCGCCGAGGCGCCAGCGGGGTAACGCGGGGCCGGGCGGGCGCGGTTGTCCCCATCCGGTGGCCCAGGCGGCCCCCTGCGGGACGAGCTGCACTTTGCCGGGGAAAGCAGCGCTTCGCCCTGTCCTGGGCATCGGCGCGGGCCCTGCGCCGGGAGGAACTCCGGCTGGACCGGCGCGCGGGGTGGGGGTGGGGGTCACGGCGGAGAGCGGCAGGCGGAAGAGCCGCCTCGACCCTCGGGACGAGGAGGGAGGGAGAGGTCTGCGGGCCTAGGGCTCAGGGGCACGCGGGCGCCGGGGCTTGCGGGTGGGGCCCAGGCCCGGGCCCAGAGGAGGGCATCAGGCTGAACAAGGAACCAGCAGGCACAATGCAGGGTTTCCTTTTTGTAAGAGGAAAACCCTCGTTATAGGAGATGTTGAAACTTAAGGGAGTTTCTCACCCTCAGTTATAACTTAGAATTAATTGGCTTTCTAGGATTTATCCTATGTGTGAGTTTCATGCTCTGAAACTACCTGATTCACATTCCGCTTTGGAATTTAAATTGTGCAACTTTTCCTCATCCCTTAAAGCGAAGCCTGTGTTGTAGTAGGTAGTGGTTCTTTGCCACGCGGTGCCATGGTTTGTTGCTGCAGATGAGTGTTTAGGTAGGTGATCGTCGTATTATAATCTCTTAGATGACGTTATAGGAATACGTTTGACGCTAGACCTTCGAGCATAATTCCCACAGCAGAATGCGTGTGAGGGTGTCTTGCATTTTGGTATGTGGTCAGTCTGCTTCCGGGCAGTGCCTTCTAGCTCTGGATAGCCCCTGCTGGCCCCTCGATCGTGTTTCTCTCTGTGCACCCTTGGGGATTAAAGTCCTCGAAAGACTTTCCTGCCTGTTGAGTGACTCACAGGTCAGAGCTCACAGCTCTTTATCATTTTGTATTTCAGCGGGCAAAGCTCGAGGCTCAGAAGCTTTTGGGCCCCCAAAAAAGAAAAGGAAGAAAACACAAAAGAAGTCTCGAGAGCGGGAACAGAAGTCTGCAGAGCGCAAGGCCAAATCCGAGGGGGTGAAGTCTCCAATGGCTTCTGGGTCCAAGAAGCCAGCAGCAGTTAGAGAGGAGGTTTCTAGCCCCACTAGAGCCCCTGAAGGTGAGGGGCTCCAGCGCCCATGGGGTTACCATGCGAGGCTTCCAGTGCTGTTAAGAAAAGGCAACCATCAGGCACTTGGGGCTAACACAAGACTCCCAGGAGCAAAGATCAGCCTTGCTTGAGGGCGGGTGGGATGCAGAACCACATGGGGCCAGTATGTTAAGGACCAAGGTCATGCCTCTCAGGTCCTGGAGCAGCTTGGCTACTAGGAAGTGTTTTCTTTTTTTTTTTTTTGGTACCGGGGATCGAACTCGGGTCCTTGCGCTTGCGAGGCAGGCAGTGGAACCACTGAGCTAAATCCCCGGTAGGAAGTGTCTTCTTATGCGGCAGTGACTTACTTGGGAGTCAGTTGCCTGTCCTGGCAGGTTTCTGGAGACCAACCCAGCTTGAAAGGTGGAGGGTTTAATCTGATTGGCCTGCAGTTCCACGAGTGGCCACAGGGTGGGGCCAGAGAAGTAGAGGCTGAGGCTCAAGTGCTGGCCCTCAGTGCTGGGGAGGGTGGTGGGCCCCCTTCCAGCCCTGTCTCTGTCCCCACAGATGGCCGTGCCTCAGAGCCTGGCTCTGTCTTTGCCCTGGAGGTTCTGAGACAGCGGCTGCATGAGAAGATCCAGCAGGCCCGGGGCCAGGTAGGTTGGGACCTTGTGGAATGGTTTCTCGCCCTGCCCTCTGTGTCTCCTCAGCAGGGGCAGAGACAGGCCCTAGGGGGAAGCTTGGCCTTCCTCCTCAGGAAGCTGTCATTGCTGATACCATGATGGCTAGGCGCAGCCTGTGTCTGTCCCTCTAAAGGTTGGTGCCCTGAGATTAGGCGACCTGCCCCATACTGAGGACTGACCACCTGGCGCCCTCTTCCTGGCATGGTCTGGTTGGCTGTGGGCTGGGAGAGGCAGCAGGAGAGTGGAACTTGGTTTTGTCAGGAGAGAACACGTTGAGGTCAGGGCAGGGGCTCGGGTCCCATCCAGGTTCTGAGCTACTGGAGGAAGGATGACAGTGCTTAGAACTGTCCGAGTAGCATCCTGGCCCTCGGGAAGGGCTGGGGAGCTGGGAGGCATGTCATTCTGTGGGGTCACTTGCATGTTGGGTAAGGGGACGTCTCACTGTGGCAAGTTCTGCATGGTGGCCATGTCCTGCATCAGGACTTCCTCACACACCTTCCAGCCCTGGTTGCCTCCCAGCCATGTGCCACCCGGGACCCTGAGGTGGGGAGGAAGGACTCTGCTGAGTGAACCTGCACCCCTAGGGCAGCACCAAGGAACTGTCTACAGCCACTCTGGAGAAACGGCGCCGGAGAAAGCAGGAGCGGGAACGAAGGAAGAGGAAGCGGAAGGAGCTGCTTGCCAGGAAGAAAGCAGCCCAGACTCAGGAGGCAGAGGAGAAGGAGCCAGTGGCTGAGGCGGCCCCAGGGGTGGCCTGTGCAGAGCGCCCAGAGCCGGCGCTGATCTTCAATAAGGTGAGCGGGCAGAGGCCTCTGGGCCGGGAGTGCCCCTTGCTTGTCGCCCCGAATCAGCGGCAGCCCTGCAGAGCATGGACATGACCACAATGCTGGCCTGGGCTGCCCGAGGGCTAGAGCCGATCCCAGTCTCGTTCCCAGGTGGAGGTGAGTGAGGAGGAGCCAGCCAGCAAGGCCCAGCGCAGGAAGGAGAAGCGACAGCGGGTGAAGGGGAACCTGACGCCGCTGACAGGCAGGAACTACCGGCAGCTGCTGGAGCGCCTGCAGGCACGGCGCGGCCGGCTGGAGGAGCTGCGTGAGCAGGATGCAGGCAAAGCCCAGGAGCTAGAGGCCAAAATGAAGTGGACCAATCTGCTGTACAAGGCGGAGGGCGTGCGCATCCGGGACAACGAGCACCTGCTGGAGGACGCGCTGAAGCGCAAGGAGAAGCGGCGGGCGCAGCGGCAGCGGCAGTGGGAGAAGCGCTCAGTGCAGGTGGTGGAGAAGATGCAGCAGCGGCAGGACAAGCGGCGCCAGAACCTGCGCAAGAAGAAGGCCGCACGGGCCGAGCGGCGCCTGCAGAAGGCCCGAAAGAAGGGCCGGGTGCTGCCGCAGGACCTGGAGCGGGCCGGCCTCGCCTGAGCCCTGCTGGACCCTCTCCCGCCCAGCGCCCAGCACCGCCCTGCCACACCTTCCCTCCGACCCACCTTGGCTGTCTCTCTATGCAGGCGGTGCATGACGCTGGGACAGTCCCCAGGGTGTTTGGCCACATCCTCAGACCACAAGGGGCGCCCAGCAGCGCCAGTGGCCTCTGAGGTGGGAGCTTCTCAGGGTCTTCAGGTCAGGGAGGAAGGAAGTGGGCGTGGCGCAGGGGGGACCACCCACTGGTGGGGGGTGCTCGGGAAGGCGGGGCCTCAGCCAGCTGCCTTGTCCAAACCTCAGTGGGATGGGCGGAGGGGAGGGGTGCCCCAAGGGGAGCAGGTGCGATTCTGGGCCTGGACACCAAGGCCTGCCTCCCGTTCCAGTCTCCTTCACAGTCCTCACAGCGCCCTTGAAGCTCAGAGCCCAAGTGGAGGGAGGGAGGGGAGTCTTCCCAGGTCAGGGCCACATGGCCACATGCAGGCCGTCACTGGCTCAAGGGCTGTGAGGCAGTAGTTGGCACCTCCTGGGGTCGGGTTGATGCTGGCCTGCTGGTACTGGAGGCACGGGTGTGGAGGCAGTGTGGAAGTGGTTAGGAGCCTTGGGCATTTCTCTGTCTGGAGGCAGAAAATCAGCCCAGCTGAGCCACCATTGGAGAGGGAGCCCACAGGTGACGAGAAGTGAAAGCAGACAGGCACCAGGGTGCAGCAGCTTCCTGGGCTCCAGCCTCTCCCAAGAGGCTGGCTGTGCTGCTCTGTGGAGTCTCGCTCAACGAGAGACAGAATGGCGGGCCCAGTGGTCGGGGAAATCCTGGGATTGGGGGCCCGGTGGCAGCACAGCAGGGCACCCTTGGGTCCTCCTTGAGAAATGCCGTCCCCCTGCAAGGATGTGGACAGTGGGCAGCCTCTGGGCCTGAGCTCGTCTGCCCCAAGCAGGACTCCTGTCCTGGGGCTAGGCTGCAGCGTTGGCAGCTCCGGGTGGTGGTATGGTCTACCCCATTCTCCTGCCCTCTGTCCTTCACAGGCGGGACCCCAGTAAACGCTTGCACTGCTAACTCAGTCTCCAAGTCTGTTTCCTGGAGGGTGCAGGTGACACACAGCTCCCGAGCAGGATTGAAACACTACCCCTGTACGTGTCTGCAGCTCTCGGAAGAAACACATTCCCTTCTGAGGAAGAGATTGAGGCTGGTGCTGTGGCAGCCACAGTGATTCCCGAGGCATGGGAAGCACTGAGGAGAAAGTCTGGGATTTGTGCCCAGTAAAGCGGCACTGCAGTAAGCATCGCCTGGAAACATCGTCTTACCCTAGCTGGAGGAGACGCACTTTAAGAGGGAAAGAGCAATGTTTTCACAGGAAATGGTGAGCAGAGGCCCGAGATGTTTTGAATGTCAGGTGTACAGAATTCCACTTTGGTAGCTGGAATGCACAAGTGACCTGTTACTACTCATTTCCTTGTCTGTACTGGCCACATTTCAGATGCTCAGGAGCCCCAGTTATGCTAAACAACACAGAGACAGAACAGCTATGGATTTTTTAAAGGGTGCGTTGGTCAGTGCTGGTGTAAACCCAGCAATATCTCGTAACATTGAGAACCAAGACAGATCTGGAATAATGGCCAGAGATAGCTCCAAGCCAGGTGGCTGGGGTTCAACTATTCTGTTAATTGTAAAAATCAGAATTTAAGTTAAACACATATTCCTAGGTAACCACTCTGTCCATTTGTGTCACTAAATGCCTGGGTCTCAGTCACTTACAAGGAGCAGATTGATTGCTCGGAGTCCTGGGGCCTCAGGTGAGTGTCAGGCAGGCCCTCTGAGCTGTGTCCCACCCAAGGTGGCAGGAGAGCAAGGAGCACACACAGGCCAAGACGCAAGACCTACCCAGAGTCCTGCCACACTAACCACTGCTGTGACACAGCCTCTGCCTGCTCAAGGAGTGGGCGGGGCCTTCCTGGGCAAAGTCCTACCTCTTCATAGTGTTGCTGTGTGCAACAGCAAGGGACCAGAAATTGGGGGTTCCAATCCATACCAACAGAGAAGAGCCACACCAAGATTTTCTACAGGTGAAAGTAAGTTTATTACAAGAGTACAGCAGAAAATTTATTTTTAAAAAGTACAGCAGAAGCTGGGCGTGGTAGAGCACACCTGTAATCCCAGCGCTGGGGAGGCTGAGGTAGGAGGATCGCCACAAGTCCAAGGCCAGCCTGAACTACATAGTAATACCCAGTCTCAAGAAAAAAAAAAGTACACCAGTTACGAGCATAGTCATGAGGCAGGGGACAGCACCAAACATGAGGAAGCCTCTGGGGTAGGATCTTGCATCAGATGGTGGCTTTGGCAGGCAAGGAAGAATCCACCAACACTGCCCAGTTGGTCAAGGCAATCTGCACATCACGTTTTCCCAGGGGTAGTGGCCAGTTTCCCTGCAGAAAGGCAGCGCCCAAAGTCATGTCAGCGAACACCTGCATTTCTCTCTCATTTATCCCTTCCCCTGACACTATGACCATGAAGTCACACATTTGAGAGGGGCCATTCAAGCCATCGCAATCAGCAAAAGATAGAAAAGGTGTGTACAAAAAACTTGACAAAATAGGATGGGGCAGATGATCTGAATCCAGAAGAAGGGAAGAGAAACTTAGAAACAAAGAGGTGAGTGGAAGGGAAGAGTAAGACTAGGATTAGGTCCAGCTTACGGACAATCTCAGTGAATGGAAATGGACTAAATACAGGTAAACCTTGTTTTTGTAGGGCTGGGGATGGAGCCCAGGCCCTCATGTACATTAGCCCAGTGCCCCACCACTCGGCTACATTCCCAGCCCTAAATTCATAAATTTTAATAACATGACTCGCAGTATGGTTGTCAGGATTGTTTTGACTAAAGTCCAACACTTGCAGACTGCAGAATCATGGGGGAACAGGGAGGTTAGGACTAGGAATCTCCTGTAGTTCATAAGGGTCCATTGTTAAAAAAGTTGCCGAGGACCAAATCTACCCGTGGTTGTAGATGACTTAGCTGACTGTGAGGTCTAGAAGTTCAGCCAAGATGGAACAGAAGTGAGGTGCACCATTTCGGTCCAGCATCCACCCTCTGGGATCCTGTTTTCTGAAGTCCTGGAGGTTGCCAGCAAGGCTTTCTTGTTAGAGGGGAGCTTCATCTGCCTGGACAACAGCACCCCTTGTGATAAGGCATAGGGACGCCCGGCTACTGTGGCCAGTCCTCAACTATGCACTTCTGACAGCTTTCTAGAATGGGGACGGGGAACATCAAAGCATCTGTTAAGTTTAAAAAGAGGGGTAGGAGGGCTGGGGATTTAGCTCAGTGGTTTCACCACCTGCTGCGTAAGCGCAAGGACTCAAGTTCGATCCCTGATACAAAAAAAAAAAAATGGGTAGGAGCAAAAACTGTCTTATGTTCTCATTTAGCTTCCTTGAGCAACAGCACTGTGATGTGTAAGTAGATGATCCAGGGGCATTTGCAAGTGATGGCAAACACCATTCATGACAAGGTCATAGACAGCTTCCTGTGCAGGCAAGAAGTGTCATCAAGGTGATAGATGAAAAACAATACCGAAACAAAAGTCTGGAGCCGTCCACTCCAGTGCTGAACCTGCCACTCGACAAAGCCCTCGAAACAAATGTCATGATTTTTACTCAACTGCTAAAAATACTGTGCAGATGGTTGCTTGTAGTTGTCTTAATCTTCAGAATCTAAGGACACAAGAAACCTTGCTTTAAAAACAGGATCAGGGCTGGGGATTTAGCTCTGCCGCCTGCTTTGCAAGCACAAGGACCTGAGTTCGATCTCCAGCACCAAAAAAAAGAAAAAAAAACAGGATCAGTCTGGAACTTGATATACTTTTCCTTTACAGAATAGCAGCTTTCAAGGCAAATTTCTTTTCTTTTTTTTCTTTTTTGGTTGTGGTACTGGGTATTGAACTCAGGACCTTGTGCTTGCAAGGCAGGCACAGTGCCACTCAGCTAAATTTCCAGCCCACAGATTTCTTGGTATATGGCTCTTAAACATATATTCTGTTTCTTTGGTCTTCACTATTTATGACCTCAGGAAAATTAAAACAGAAAGACAGGTGTAGGGCAGTCAGAAAGTTCCAAAATGAAGTTTTCCATTTTTGGTATTTCACTGTGTTCTGCTCCTTCCCAAAAAATTAATTGAGCCACTGGAAGATGATATGAAGAATATTTTGTTGCTTTGATGGAGAAGCGACATTATTTTGGACCCATTTTCATCATTATCCAGTTATTTAAAAGGCCACGTGAATCTACCAATCAGGCAGTGGCAAGGCTACAACCAAGGACAAGATGCAGCATCTGGGGACACGTCCCCAGTCTCAGCCCAGTAGAGACAACCAGGCCATAACTGTAACAAAGCCCTTCCCAATCTTCAAACTAGTGACATTGGAAGGGAAGGAGTGCTCACAAAGTCATTCCTGGAAGCTAGCATTAACCCTGATTCCAAAACCAAAGATCCAACAGAAAAGAGAACCACAGGGCAATCTCTAATGAAAACGGAGGCAAAGATCCTCAACAAGATACCAGCAAATACCTGGTAGCTCACACCTGTAATCCCAGCACTTGGGAGACTGAGGCAGGAGGCCCACTGTGAGTTCTAGGCCAGCCTGGGCTCCATAGTGAGTTAAACACCAGCCTGAACTACATAGTGACTCCCTGTTAAAAAAAAAAATACTGGCTAGTGGAATGCAACAGATCATTAAAAAGATCATACATTGTGACCAACTAGGCTTCATCCCAGAGATGCAAGGATGGTTCAACATATGCAAATCAATAAATGTACTACACCACATCAACAGAAACAAGGACAATAAAATCACATTATTATCTCAATAGACACGGAAAAGCCTTTTACAAAATCCGACATCCATTCATGATTTTTTAAAAAATCCTGTAGGGCCGGGGATTTAGCTCAGTGGTGCCTCGCCTGCCATGCAAGTGCAAGGTCCTGAGTTCAATCCCTGGTATCGCAAAACAAAACAAAAAACCCTGAAAAAGGTATAGAAGGACCTTATCTCAAGCTGATAAAAACCCATTTATGACAAACCTTCGAACATCATATTAAATGGGGAAAAACTGAAAGCTCTCCTCTAAAATTAGGAACAAGACAAGGCTGCTGTTCAAAATAGTCCTCAAAACATTAGCCAGCACAATCAGGCAAGAGAAAGAAAGAAAAGAGATAAGTAGGAAAGGAAGAACTCAAAGTATCATTATTTGCAAATGACAAAATCCTCTAATAGAAGACCCAAAAAATTTCACCAGAGACTCCTAGAATTAATAACCAGATTCAGCAGTATAGGAGGACATAAAGTCAAAATCACAGAAAAATCTATAGTGTTCATGTACACCAATAATGAACTCACCAAGAAGAAAATTAGAAAAATAATACCATTCATAATAGGATCAAGAAAAATTACTTATGAATTAACCTAACAAAATGAAAGACCTCTACAATGAAAGCTACAATACTCTGAAAAAGGAGATCAAAGAAGACACGAAAAATGCAAAGACATCCCCTGCTCCTGGATAGACAAAACTAATACAGTCAAAATGGCCATACTTCCAAAACTGGCATACATATTTAATGCAATCCCAGTCAAAATACCAACAGCATTCCTCACAGAGCTAGAGAAAACAACTCTAAAATTCACATGGAACCAGAAGAGACCTAGAATAGCAAAACCAATCCTGGGCAAAAAGAGCATGGCTGGAGACCTCACAATCCTGGATCTCAAGTTATATTACAAAACTACAGTGATAAAAACACCATGGTAGTGACACAAAAATAGAAATGTGTATCATGGAACAGAATAGAGGATGCAAAAGCAACCTCAGGCGCATTTAGCTATTTGATCTTTGACAAAGAGGCTAAAAACATTAATTTGAGGAAAGATAGCCTCTTTAATAGATGGTGCTAAAAAAATGGCTATCCACATGGAAAAGATTAAATCTAGACTTATATCTCACCTATCTGAATCTAGACTCAGATCTAAATGTTAAAACAGAAACAATCTGCTGGAAGATAAAAT